AGCCTCCCCGGCAGCCTGGGAGCAACCGTCACCAGCGAGTGACAGCGCCAGGGAGGACGGGGATGGGCCGTCCTGTGACAGGGTGCTGAGATCGTCAGCACGGGGACAGCGCCTGTCCCAAGCTTCTTTGCCCTTGCAGGGAGCCAGTGCAGCACAGGGGACAGTGAAACCGCAGCATCCTGCAGCGAGCGGTGGCACCAGCTCCGAAGGAGCCTGCGATGAGCGGAGCAGAGGCTCAAGGAAAGGACGCTCGAGCTGCAGGGAAGACCAGCTCACTCCCGTGGTGCTCCTGGACCCTCGAGAAGTGACTCAGGTGGCAGGGGTCCAGCAGGATGAACAGTCCTGCCCACAGCCAGGTTCGCCTTTAGGCCTGCAAGGAGGCATGGGGAAGGAATATAAAGGCAGCAAGGTCCTTGCTGGAGAGGGAAGCACGTGCAGGAAAGCCTGCATCAGCGGCTTCAGCTCCAGCCGCTGGGGCCGGCAGACGCGGCTGCGCCCGGTCCGGCTCAAAAACAAGAGGCAGCAGCAGGCCAATAACTCCTTTTTCAGACCGCAGAGGAGGCTGAGAGGAATGAAGAACAACGCTCTGGAGATGTCTGCAGATCTAAGAGACAATAACTGTTCTTTCCTCAATAACTCCCATTGCTGGGGCAGGGTTCGATCATCGTTGTCCTTCCATAAGAAAAAGAAAGTTGCAACAGAAGAGAGTTTCTGCAACAGCATCCTTTGTACCCCTTTGATGAAATCCCAGCTTTCAGGCCCCCAAGCAACCCCATCTCCTCATAGGGCTCAGTGCTATAGTCGGTCTGCTTCTTCCATAGCCCTGCTCGCTCCTAGGAACTCCTGTTCTGTCATGGAGCTGATGCTTACAGATGCGGAGAAGGTGTATGGGGAATGCCAGCAGGAGGGGCCTATCTCTTTTGAGGAATGCATTCCATTAGATAAGCTGAAACAATGCCAGAAAATTGGGGAAGGGGTGTTTGGGGAAGTCTTCCGGACTCACAGTGAGAGAGGACCTGTGGCCTTAAAAATAATTCCCATTGAGGGGAGCGAGAGAGTAAATGGTGAAGCTCAAAAGAGTTTTGCAGAGATTTTACCTGAGATAATAATTTCAAGGGAACTCAGTCTTCTGTCTGAAGAGTCTCTGAACAGGACTGTAGGGTTCATTAGCTTGTATTCTGTGCACTGTGTTCAAGGGGCCTATCCTAAGCACCTCCTGGAAGCCTGGGACAAATACCACAATGTAATAGGATCAGAAAATGATCGGCCAGACCTTTTTGGGGATGAGCAGCTCTTCATGGTTCTGGAATTTGAATTTGGAGGCAGTGATTTGGAGAATATGAGGAAGAAGTTAAGTTCAGTGACGTCGGCAAAAAGCATTTTGCAGCAGGTCACTGCTTCCCTGGCTGTAGCGGAACAGGAATTGCACTTTGAGCACAGAGACTTGCACTGGGGGAACGTGCTGGTAAAGAGAACAGATGTAAAGGAGCTTAGTTATGTGCTGAACGGGGCTGTCTGCACGATCCCCACAGCAGGTATCCAGGTCAACATCATAGATTACACCTTGTCTCGGCTAGAGAAAGATGGATTAACTGTATTTTGTGACCTTTCCACTGATGAAGAACTGTTCCAAGGCACAGGGGACTACCAGTTTGATATCTATAGGCAAATGAAAATGGAGAACTCCAACAACTGGACTGACTATCAGCCACACAGCAATGTCCTCTGGCTACATTACTTGTCAGATAAACTTCTTTCACAAGTGACCTACAAGAAAAAGGAAACAACTTCTGCCATGAGAAAAATAAAGCAGCAGCTCCTTAAATTCCGTAAGGAAGTACTAACTTTTGGTTCTGCAAGTGAAGTTCTGCATAATAGCAGCTTGTTTCAGTGATTAAGGGACTGCAGTGTTTCTGCAGATGGAGTTACTAATGGTGACGTGCCCTTGCTGTTCCTTATGTACCATCTTTTTAAATGTTGATGCAATGAAGAAATGTCATTATGTCCATGGGTTATCAATGTGTATAGGATGTGTTTTAAAAAGGTCAAAAAAGTTTCTACTTAGTATGCTTAGAGATGTACTTTTTTGAGGGCCGAGGGAAAAGGAGAATAGACATGACTTTGCAAGGGGTGATTTCTTTGGGCTTAGCTTATGCTTTGAATTAAACTTTTTTATCTTTTGAGTTTTAGTATATTAAAATGAGTTCTCTTTCATTATTATATTGTCTTTCTTACTTTTTTTAAAAAAAAAAAAAAAAAAACTCTGACCACCGAGGACAAAAGTAGTAAATAGTGTTATCCCAGTCGAGGATAGAAAATAGGGGGGAAACCTCTATGACTCATTTTTTTAAATGAACTCAGTTTGACAAAACATGTGCATGGAATGGTGCTACAAGATCTAAGTATCTAAAGTTTGTGTAATACAGCTTTAGAAATAGTCTAATCTATAACATTCCCCTGTAAAGACCAGCTAAATGGTATCAGATCATGAAAAAAAAAAAGTACCTGTGTTCCTGTTGTATTTTTTCACATTCATGAATAGAAACCCAAATCTGTAACTGGATGGTAGCTTTAAAGTGATTTTCTCCATTTATCTACAGGGGAAATGCACAAGACAAGTACTCTTTAGTCCTGATTAAAGATGGATCAGATTATCTGAACTTGAATCTCTACTTACATTAAATTGGAATTCTTTGTTTTCAACAAATCTTTGACTAACATTCATGTACATTAAAGAAACAGGTCTGTAGACAAAGGTAAATCAAACTAAGTGAATGTCAAATTATTACTTAATGTATTTGGGTCACCGAATGCATTAACTTTCAGTAATAAAGGTGTGCATTATAAGATTTGTTAAAACTGGAATACTATCTAATCTATGCATTTATGTGTACCTAGAGCAGTCTCTGAATATCTGTGAAGATCTCTTGAAGTAAACTTTTTCCAGGTTAGACCATCTTTTGCTTTGTTTTCCCCTAAACAACCCCTGCCCACTTGAACTCGGCTCCCTTGCCTAAGCAGGCAAGTGGACAACTAGGATTAAGGAGCAGCTCTGCTGCAGAGAATTGTGGAATCACATAAATCATCTGCTGGGTATATTACCCATCATTGCGAATGAAATGCATTTCCTTCCTCCTAGCTCGTTGCTACAAAAACACAAGCTTTTCCTTTGCACGGTGTGCTGAAGGCAATTCACACACAATACATACTTGGGAAAAAGAGCTTTTGATCCCCTCTTTATCATTAAAGAGGCAAGTACTGCCAAAAGAGGAACTGTTTGAAAGATGATCTTCAAGGGGAGCTCCAACTGCAATATCCTCATATCTATCCCTGTTGATGTCTCCAGTGCTGGCCACAGTAATGCCAAACCTTGCAAAAAGAGAGGTCACCTCCAAGTGTCCTTCCAAGGTAAATGAACCAGTCTGAAAAACACCCCTTAAGGAATCCCATTTGCAGCAAGGGCAGTATAAGAAGAAAAAAAAGGCTTAACTGCACACTGATAATGCTTAAAGGAGAAGAGCAATGCTCTAAACAAGACATTAAGCAGTCCAAAAAGTACAGCTTATTCCCAAAAGAAAAGCTTGATCCTCCTCACTGAGATCACAAAAATTCTCATATGGAAGCAGTATCTCTGGACACCTCTCAGCAAGCAAACACTAAAGCACTCTGTTATTAAATTAACAGGAGATTGAGTTGAACCTAGCTAGTCTCGCAGTGCTGGAAACCCTCCCATCTTCTGGTCTGCCTTCTAGAAAGAAGCCACAAGAGGGTGCACGTTATTTGGCTTCGAACAGATGCCAAACCTTTTTGCTGCCAGTAAGCTCCCCGAGTAAATTTTAGGAATGCAACAAAGAGGGTTTCCCCTGCTCTGCTGTTGAAGTGTGTGCAGATCATTCAGAACAACCCAACTAAAATACACCTTGCACACCTTGTATATTGGAGTTAGCAGCTGGGCCTGCAAAGCATTTTCTTTTCTGGAACGCCCTGGAAGCAATGGTGCAGCAGCTGCCTAGCACACATTTGTTGAAAAAACTGAAGAACATTGCTTGCCAGAGCAAAGTCAGCACCAACAAACTGCTTATGTACAGGCAACAGATATAATTTAATCACACTGAGATATCATTGTGCCTCTGAGTACAGAAGGATTTTATTTCTTATTTGTCTTTCCTACTCTAAGGGCTAAGACGGGGCTGCTGGCTTCATCCTGCAATCCTCTACCATACAGGGAGAGCACATTCAGCGAGAGCACACAGAGGAATGTTTTATTTGTCACTACTTAGGCATGGTTGGAAAATCCCCAACGTGCAGTGTTTACGCTACCAGTGTTTTTACCTCTGTCTCCAAGCAATAGACGTAAACCCTTCCTTCTTCCCCTTGGATGTGATAAAACGGAGCTTCAACAAGATGATGATCTGTCACCTCATCACAGTTCACATCAAGCGGGCAGAGTTCAGAGCCAAAACACGATCCAACCTGTCCTCCAGAAAAAGACAAGAAGCTCTTACACTGGAATTCTGTGTATCTAGCTTTGTAGACTTAATGTCTTTGCACACAAGTAAGGCATTTTTTTTAAATGAAACATTACTTATCTACTTATTTATAGGCATATAATTTCCCTATTATTTATTATAGAATACAGCCATCCTCAGGGAGGGATCCTGTAACCAGTGTAACAGTACCACATCATTATTCAACAATTTGACAGAAGAAAAAGGAGAATGCCATAGCTGAAAGCCTCTTTTTTTCACAGGCCATAGGAACAGAACACAAATATAGTACAATCCAATTAGCTAAATGCCTTCCCAATAGAAGGAAAAACATGGAAAAACATGGTGGAATAGGAGCCAATAACCTCTACCATCCTGTTGAAGGACTTCGATGATTTTCCTCCACTGAATGACTTGTCCCAGAAGCTCAGACCTTCAGCAAATCTCACATGAAAAAGGCAGGAAAAGTTCTGAATTGAGAAAATGCATACAGGAGAATCAATGGGGACTGCCCGTCCTTTCCAGGTTTCAAGGCAATAATAAAGCTAATGAATTTATTCAAACAATTACTACATGCAAGGACTAGGTACATCACATACTCCTTACTCAGCAAGGATCCTAGCAGCTTTACTTTTGTTTCAAAAAGAAAAGTCTGGAGGCAAGAAACTGGCTGCTGCTTGAGCAAACTGGATGCCTGGAACCCACGAGGCCCCCCTGAGCATGGTGTTTTGTCAGCCCCTTTGCCCAACTGCCCCCGTTGGAGAGAAGAACGGTACCTGTTCTTGCAGAGTCTGCTTTAAATGACCTTCCTGACACACCAACACCTTCCTTTTCATGCTGTGGAGCTCCAGCCACATCCAAGGCTGCATATCCTGCGTTTGCCACTGGCATGCTGAATCCTGGTGCACTCAATACAAGGAGCAAGAATAATGTGTGTTGTCAGTACCATACTCTATGCATGAAGAAAAGAGTCTACTAAATTTTAACAGAGATCTGCATCTTTCAGTGAGACACAAGAATTCACAGCATATCAAGCTGTTCTGGCCTATGGATTTCATTCTAGAACCTCTCATGAAAACGCTGATTAGGAAAGAGCAGTCAGAAGATAGAGGATTCAAGAGACTATGAAGCACCAGGGTGAATAAGCAAAGCTTTATTTGTCATCAAGCCAAGAACAGTATTGAATCACAAGCTATCTGTTCTCCAAACACTCACTACAGGAGAAATTTATCCTTATCAGCTCTCAAAAATGCCCTTCATTGCAAGTGTTTGCACACAGTGCAACCAAATGGCATGTGTTAACAGAATATCCCAAGGCATCATAACTCATAAGTGAAAAAAGAACTATCCTCACAACAAGAAGAAGCCAATAAGACTTTGTGTCTGAATCTTTCTCTGTTAGAGAAAATACCAGAAATACAGCAATATTCTGCAGGAGACAGTCTTCATCGGATTAATACTGACTGCTTGCACATTGTGCACTGAATGCAGACAAACAGTGGAACTGCAGTCAGGTCATCATCTGATCTCACAGAAAGGTAAAACTGTTCACCTAGGTAACTGTATTATGTTTTTGTTTTTTTTTTTTTTTAATTCCTCTTTAGACTCATTCAGGAAAACGGCTCTCTTGGTTGCCAGTTCATAGAACAAAATTCCATCAGACCAGTTTGGACCAGGGATTCTCTTTGCCCTGAGCATGCAAACTTTCCGAGCACTCTCAGAAAATAATGTAGTACTAGAAGAGCCACCCTAATGCTTTCTGGCTACCTCCATCTCCTTTCTCCCAAGGGCTGCTAAGGTCTAAGGTATTTAACATTAGACAGTCATCAAAGATCCTCATGCTCCATAAAGGCTGTAGTACCCCCCATTTCAGGTATCTAGACTGAGAAAGATTAATCCAAAAGAGAAAGTTAAATATTCTCTGCTCTCAAATTTTAATACCAGCTGGACACCAATCCTGACGCAGTTGCACCCTTCTGATGCTGGCCCTGTCTGATACCCCTTATACTTGTGCTGCTGAATCAGATGTGAGATGGCAAAGTGGAACAGTTTTCTTTAAAAAACAGCGTGTTTTAAATTTCATTTACTCATAAGTCCCAGACCAAGAAATACCATTTCTTGAAAAGATGGAAAAAATAAAACTGATCCACGGCTACCACGAAACTCATTGCTAGCTGCAGGAACAGTCCAGCTGAGAAGTCTGCCAGCTGCATCGCTTCAGAGACAGCTCCTTGCAGCTCTTGTAGACTTCTATGAAGCATCTGTTCTTTGTCCGAGCCCTTTTGCTTGTCACATTTCAATGACTCCCTTTGCTAGCTACAAAGGGATACAACGGAAAGTATGCTGAGGTGCAAGTGGGGTCACAAGAGATGAAGAGAGCACGGATCGACTGAGGCACAGACAAACCTCTCCATGCTTTCCTCAGAGCAAGCTTTG